TCGCTGATACTGCGGGAGGAGAGGGCTCGCTGATACTGCGGGAGGAGGGTCCTCGCTGATACTGCGGGAGGGGTGTCCTCGCTGATACTGCGGGAGGGGAGTCCTCGCTGATACTACAGGAGGGGAGCACTTGCTGATACTACAGGAGGGGAGTCCTCACTGATACTGCAGGAAGGGATTCCTCACTGTTACTGCAGGAGGGGGCATCCTCACTGATACTGCAGGAAGGGAGTCCTCAATGATACTGCAGGAAGGGAGTCCTCAATGATACTGCAGGAAGGGAGTACTCACTGATACTGCAGGAAGGGAGTACTCACTGATACTGCAGGAGGGGAGTACCCACTGATACTGCAGGAGGGAGTACTCATTGATATTGCTGGACTGGAATACTCACTGATACTGCAGGAGGAGAGTACTCACTGATGCTCACTACATCTCAGTGAGGCATATGGCCTGAAATTTGACCAGAGCTGGCCTGGGAGAGTGAGAGGCAAGAGTGATCCTGAGGGTTGATAATGGGGAGGGGGTTACTGAGTGGCAATGTGGTTTGATTAAACCCAGTGTGTGGATTGTTAACAGACTCTTACACGTATGTTGAATTGAACAGCTAAAGACTTTCAGAGATTTGCGGTTAGGTCACAGATCAGCCATGATCCCACTGAGTGTTGGAACAGGCTCAAGGGGCTGAATGGCCTGATCCTGCGCTGTTTCATTCTGACAACTGAGCCAGCTCATTAGCAGTCACACCCACTCTCGGATCACCCCGCGCTGACTGACCGACATCGGCCCCTGATCTGGCAAAGCTCCAAATATCAAATTCTTGTCCATGGTTTCAAATCCCCCCACTGTCTCACACACCCACTTCCCCACCCCCGCAATCCCCCCACATCCTCTCCCCCAGTCCACCCCGTCCACCTGCCATCTCTGAAATTTCCTCCGAGATCTCTGTGCTCCTCCAAATCCAGTCTCTGGAGCATCTGCAATATGAATTGTTCACAGCCATGCCTTTAGCTGTCTGCGACCCAAAACCTGGAACTCCATCCATAAACTCCTCTGCCTCTCCCTCTCTTCCCCTCTATCTCTCCTCCTCTCCCTCTCTCCTCACCCACTCTTCCCCTTCATCTCTCCCGCTCACAGTTCCTCCTTCTCTCGCGCTGTCCTCGCTCCTCACCCGCTCTCCTCCTCTCCCTCTATTCCCCTATTGCTCTCTCTTCCTCTCGCTCTCCTCCTCTCCCTCTCCCCTCCCCTCCCTCTCCTCCTCCCTCTCCACTCCCATCCCTCTCCTCCTCTCCCTCTCCACTCCCATCCCTCTCCTCCTCTCCCTCTCCACCCCCCCCCCTCTCCTCCCCTCCCTCTCCCTGTCCTCCTCTCCCCCTCTCCTCCTTTAAGACTCTCCATAAAACCCATCCTTTTTTTCCAAACTATCCACCCCCTGCCCTGATATCTCCTGATGTGATTGGATGTCAATTGGTGCTGTTTGGATGATTTATTAGCTAAAGGGCGCTATATAAACAGGTCTTGTTGCTGTGGATCCCCCACCTCTGTATTTTCTAGGAGCAATGGTCTGAAACGATGTTGGGGAAATGAAGCATAACTGCATTGCGAGCGGGCAGTGCAGGAATTAATTTGATGCAGTTCTGCTGCATTAATATAATTTTCTAACTGCCTGATTTCTGCCTCACTGAGAAAGCTGAGATGAAACGCAGCTAACATGGCAGCGGGACTGAAATCTAACTGCGGACCAAGGTGGGCTTCAGGACCGATACTGTCGGGGTCGAGTTAGAAATACAGTCCAGACTCTCAGTGAATACCTGACCAGACACAGAACAGTGAGAGAAGCAGGAAAGCATCTGAACATTACAATATCAGAAAGGCCTTTCTGCTCCTATGATGCTGCTTGGCCTGCTGTGTTCATCCAGCTCTGCACCTTGTTGTCTCGGATTCTCCAGCATCTGCAGTTCCTGCTATCTCTGAACATTACAATATCCTGGAGCTGTAGCAGACCCAGTACATTCCCTCCTGTTATCCTGCTGCTTCCCACCACATTTATTCTCACTGTTCACCACATACTACAACAGCAATGTTGCTTTATTCAGCGCCAAATAACACCAGAGAACACCCCAAGAACTGTCAGCGGAAGCCAGTCAGGGCTCTGTGAGAATCCTCAAGCTGAAAGGATAACAGAGGCAAGGGTTAGGCTAACCCTAACCTTAAGCTTAACCCTAACCCTAACCTTAACCTTAACCCTGACCTCAATCCTAA